AAAATGGAAGGTCAATTTAGTTTTACAGCCAACAATCTTAAGAAAGCACAAGAACATATAAAAATGTACCCTGAAGGCAGAGAAGGCGGTGCTGTTATGCCTCTACTCTATTTAGTTCAGGAGCAGGTTGGATGGGTACCAGAATCCGCTATGCGTTATGTAGCTGATCTGCTGAATATTACACACATGCGTGTATATGAGGTAGCAAATTTTTATACTATGTATAATCTCAAGCCAGTTGGGAAGTATTTAATACAAGTCTGTAGAACAACTCCGTGTTGGTTGTGTAACAGTGAAAGTGTTTTAAATGCCTTTAAAAAGAAGCTAGGAATCGATATTGGCGAAACAACTAAAGATAACCTATTCACCCTCAAAGAAGTTGAATGCCTAGGTGCATGCGTCAATGCTCCTGTAGTACAGATCAATAATGACTTTTATGAAAATCTCACTCCTGAAAAAGTAGATGATATTATAGTAAAGCTCTCAAATGAATAAAGCCGATTTTTCCTTTAAAATACATAAGCAGTCAGGTTCTGCGCGGTTTGGAATAATAAAGACTCCACATGGTGACATAGAAACACCAGCATTTATCTTTTGTGCAACGAAAGCTGCTATAAAAGCTGCAGATATTGAAAGGATTAATGAGTCAGGCACGCAAATAATACTTTCTAATACCTACCACCTAATGCTCCAGCCCGGAGAGGATAAAGTTGCAAAACTTGGTGGCTTACATAAAATCATGGGGTGGAACAAACCTATGTTAACCGACTCAGGTGGATATCAGATATTTAGTTTAGGTCATGGCTCAGTTTCAGATGAAATAAAAGGAGTAAGAAGAAAACAAAAAACACTGATACAAATAAATGAAAATGGAGCGATTTTTCGTTCATACATCAACGGTAAAACCTACTGTTTAACACCTGAAAAATCTATACAAATTCAGCAAAAGTTAGGTGCTGATTTGATCGTAGTTTTAGATGAATGCACCCCTTTTCATGTTAGCAAAGAGTATACAGAAAAATCGATGCATTTGAGTCACAGATGGGCAAAGCGTTCTTTAAATGAATTTGACAAAACCAATAGCGGCAAACAAGCACTTTATGGCATTAGTCAAGGGGGAGTATATCAAGATTTACGCAGAGAAAGTTGTGACTTCATCAGTAATCTACCGTTTTTTGGTCAAGCAATCGGCGGATCACTTGGTCAAAGCAAACAACAGATGTACGATGTGGTTTCCTTCACCATAGAAAACCTAAAGAAGGATAGACCTACTCATCTGCTGGGTATTGGTGGAATTATAGACATCTTCCATGGAGTAAGCTTGGGTATTGATACTTTCGACTGTGTTCATCCAACACGTTTAGCAAGGCATGGAGGGGCTTTAATAAAGGTAAAAAATAGAAACTCTTTTTCTTCAAAAGGCAAAGAACATATCAATCTACGAAATCAACAGTTTGAACTAGATGATAATCCAATCGAAAATGATTGCTTATGCTTCACATGTCAAAGACATTCAAGAGGCTATATACATCATCTGCTAAAAGCAAAGGAAATATTAGCTTATACACTAATCACTATCCACAACGTTTTCTTTATGAACAAATTAATGGAATCTATAAGACAGGCAATATTAGAAGATAGGCTAGAACATGAAAAACACAACTGGATATGCTAACTCCAATNCAGTTAAAGGGTGATTTATTAATTGCCTTAACACTTTGGCTGGCACAGTCACCGCATCAGCTCCAAATTTTGCAGCTTTAACTACATGCGCAGGGCTTCTTACTGATGCTACAAGAACTTTGGTATCAAACATATAGTTAGAATATATAGTGCATATATCTTCTATTAAGGACAATCCATCATAACTCACATCATCTAAACGCCCAACAAAGGGAGATACAAAATAAGCACCAGCTTTAGCAGCAAGTAGTGCTTGTCCAGAAGAAAAACATAAAGTTACATTAACATCTATGTTATGCTCTGTTGACAATTCTTTACAAGCAATCAATCCTTCATACGTAAGAGGTAGCTTTACTACAACATTTTCAGCAATTTTTGCTAGATCTAAACCTTCTTTCACCATCTCGTTGTGGGTATCAGCAACCACTTCAACACTCACCGGCCCATTTATAATAGCACATACCTCATGCACTAAATCTTTATATTTATTCTTATTGCCAGATTTTGCTATCAACGAAGGATTAGTCGTTATACCATCAATCAAGCCTTTTAACTCGCTAATTTCATTTAAATCAGCACTATCAAGAAAAATCTCCATCTTTTTCCTCCCTTGACTATAAAACTTACAGCCCACTTAAGTAAACCTGTTCTTGAAGCTACTAATAACCTCAAAAAAGGTCTACTTATTTTATGTTGCATTGAAGTATATATTATCATACCATCCCAATAGATTAAACACAAGGAGATTAAATATGAGTTTTAGTTTACCTGAACTTCCATATGACCAAAAAGCTTTAGAGCCTTATATATCTGCAAAAACCTTAGATTTTCATTACAACAAACATCACAAAGGGTATTTGGATAAACTTAACACGCTAGTAAAAGAAAAAGATCATGAGCTTAAGGAGCTAATTAAAAAAGTTCATGGAGATAACAATAATATTTCTGTGTTTAACAATGCAGCACAAGTGTGGAATCATACGTTTTATTGGAATTCAATGAAAAAAAACGGTGGTGGTAAACCAAGAGAAGATTACCAAATTGCAAAAAAGATCAAAGATGATTTAGGTGGTTTTGAAAAATTTAATGAGATGTTTTCTGAACATGGAATAAATCAATTTGGCAGTGGATGGGTATGGTTGGTGTTAGAAAATAACAAGCTTAAAATCACTAAAACTCCAAATGCTGATTTACCGCTAATCCACAATCAAATTCCATTGCTTACTATGGATGTATGGGAACATGCATACTACTTAGATTGTCAAAATCGTAGGGTCGATTACATTAAAGTTTTCCTTGACCATTTAATTAATTGGGATTTTGCTGAAGAGAATTTAAAACAGGTTTTATGATACAAGTAACAAAATTGAACAATGGCCTGCGTGTCATTACTGAATATATGAGTGAAGTGGATTCTGTAGCTATCAATATGAGAGTCAATGTTGGTAGCAGGGCTGAAAGTGTCGATCAAAACGGGGTATCACACTTTTTAGAACACATGGCTTTCAAAGGCACAAAAAGCAGAACTGCACTTGAGATTGCTAAAGCTTTTGATGATATAGGCGGAGTTTTTAATGCCTGCACAGGTAGAGAAAGCACTACCTACTACGCAAAAGTTTTAAAGAAGGATGTACCAATAGGAATTGATATATTAACAGATATATTAATCAATTCCACATTTCCAGAAGATGAGCTGGAGCGTGAAAAAGGTGTTGTGATACAAGAAATTTTTCAAACCAATGATTCACCAAGCGACATTATTTTCGATAAATATATGGAAGCAGCTTATAATAATCAATCATTTGGCAGGTCCATTTTAGGTACGCAAGAAACCGTGAAATCCTTCACCAGAGAAAAATTAAATAGCTATATAAATGAACACTACTTCGGTGAAAATATGATACTTGCCGTCGCAGGCAATATAGAACATGAAAAGATTGTTGCACTAGTAAAAGATACGCTCTCTAATATCCACTCAAAAAAGAAAATTCAAAATGAAAGTGCTAACTATACTGGCGGTGAATATAGAGAACACCGCAAGTTAGATCAAGTACACCTATTAATTGGATGGCCGAGTGTTTCTTGTCATGATCACAGGTACCACACATTTCAAGTCCTTGACTCTATTTTAGGCAGTGGAATGTCTTCACGCCTTTTCCAAGAAGTAAGGGAAAAGCAAGGATTAGCTTATTCTATTTATTCATTCAATTCTAGTTATAGTGATTCTGGAATGCTATCTGTTTTTGCAGGCACAGACAGTAGCAATCTAGATAAACTTCTGCAATCTATCACAGCAGAATTAAAGAAATTATCTACAAATGATTTAAAAGAAGACGAAGTAAATAGAGTTAAGGAAAGAGTAAAATCTCAAATTTTGATGTCCCGCGAAAGCACTCATTCTCGTGCTGAAACACTAAGTTATTACTATGCTAACTACGGCAAGTACATTAGTAAAGACGAGTTAATTAAAAAGATCAGTGCTGTAAGCCATGCTGACATAAAAGCAGCAGCAGAGGAGTTATTATCTCAGCATGAAAAAACTACTTTAGCTGCAATTGGAGAAATTAACTCGTTACCAAATTACGATAAAGTAATTTCTATGCTAAAAATATAAATTCTATTAAAAACACTTTGAAAAGCAATCACAAAGCCTTTCTACAAACAGAGGTTGATATAAAATGTCTTTACCTTTGTAGAAATTATTCATTCCATTTGATATTATAGATTTTCCCTGATTCCAAGGATCAGTCAAAAATGAATAGCTCTCTTTTGCTTGCATAAAAGCTAAAAAGACAGCAATCAGGCTTACAGGTAACAAGACTACCGTCAAATAAGATGGAAAGCAAAACGATGCCACGGCAACAGATAAACCCACACCTAACACTAGACATGAAGCACACAATGCTACCTTATGTTTGTTTCCAAATTGTACTAATCATTAAACCTCACTAATTATTTTATTACCTTTATAACAATTTATTTTTACATCTTAGTCAATACTTTATTCATCTATACCATATATACTTTACGGAGGCCTAATACTTGAACTATAAGCATAAAATTTATTTTAGCTTTAAACAAAGAAGTTTATTGACTTTGTATGCAATTTAGCTTTAAACCAAGTAAAATAAACTGTTTGAAGTATGCATTTTAAGTTCGGCCTTTTTTTATTATGTTGTTTTTTACTTTTCTCATTACAGTCCAATGCAGAGTTTATACCTATACCAAAGAGAAAAAAGCAGTTAAATACTACTATTGATAAGCCTAGGCAAATCATTGAAATGAAAGAAAATGCTAAAGATGAATTTTTGCCAATACCAAGAAGAAAAAAAGAAAACAAGTCTATACAAACAATAACAAGAAAAAAAAGAAGTAAAAAAAATGGTTCCCTAGCTGTTACCGATATCATAGATATGATCAGAAATAAACTCACAAAGTGCTGGAATATACCTGCTCATATTGCTCACGAAGAAAGTTTCAACGTGAAAATCGAATTATTATTATCCCCTCAAGGCGAAATAATTACAGCTGATATAGTTGATAACCATTCTTATCAAGATAACGCCCTTTTCAAATCATTATCTAAAAGTGCCATGCGTGCAGTGCATAAATGTAGCCCATTCAATAACTTGCCCAGTGAACACTATCATATTTGGCGTAACGTGATATTAGATTTTATTTTAAACGGACGATAACTATCTAGTACACTTGTTGCTCTTCAGCATTATCATGATGAACGTTATCTATGTGAGACCCAGGAAACTCCTGTTGATCTAATAGTTTATCAACATCATCATCCTGAGGAGTATGTTCTTTTTGCGCAGGTTCAATATATCTATCAATCTGTTGCACCAAAAATACAGTACTGTATGCTATACCAATCATTACACAGAGATCAAAATTAAAAATTACGCTACTTCCTAGCACAATTGGTACATTCACGTCTGCTATTTTTAAATAATTAAACAAAAAATTCAAAAAACCTATAGATAAAATTACTACACTCATGATAAGTGATTTCTTGTATTTATCGGATTCCTCGTTACTGCGATATTTTTTATATGAATAATAACAGCTTATAGGCATTGATATAAACACCAACAAAACTGTTGACACTAAACATATGTAGCTAACTATATTTTTATCATAGCCAACGAGAAAATGGATAACTCTTACCTGTATTAATAGCTTTACTACATCATCCACAAAAGCAGCTGATTTACCTATGATTTTTACAGCCTCTTTTTCACTTTTAGGACTATTATAAGTTTTTACCAAATTTTGTAGCAAAAACCAAGAATGTACTATCCACAAAAAAGTAAGAGGTAGCNCAACAAAACTTTTTATGAGTTTAATAGATGCCTTATTTTTATTGATAAAATCACAAGCAAACTGAAGCAAAATGCGACATGTTATAGAGACTATACTAGCTAATATCGAGATAATTCTTCTAATTTTATGATTAAAAAAGAAATCAACTCGTTTTGAAACTGCCATACAACCACTACTTAGCTTAAGCTACAACATATACAACTATATACACTATAGTATAAAGATACTAATTTATATGTCAATATACTTAATACTTGCTATATTTCCAGCTCACATCGCAATACTTTCCTGCTCATCCTGAAATTCAACGTCAAAATACTTTTCATAATCGTTTATATCATCACGCAGTGCAAGGGTGTTGATTTTATTCATAATCAAACCAGTACCTGCAGGAATCAATCTCCCTACTATGACATTTTCTTTCAACCCAATTAGAGGATCTTCCTTACCACAAAAAGCAGCTTCTGTTAGTACTTTAGTTGTCTCTTGGAAAGAAGCAGCAGAAATGAAAGAGTTAGTTTCAAGACTTGCTCTCGTAATACCCTGCAAAATAGGTAAATACTTAGCAGAGTTTTTGCTAGAATTAACCATAGAACTGTTCTCTTTCTCAACCTCTGTTTTATCAATACTTTCACCAATTAAGTACATAGTATCACCCGGATCAGTGATTTCTACCTTTTGCAGCATTTGTTTTAATATGACTTCCAAATGCTTATTGTCTATACGTATACCTTGAAATCTATATACTTGTTGTATTTCATCAATCATATAATGCGCTAGAGCTTCCAGCCCAAGTACACGTAAGATATCATGCAGATCAGGATCACCATCCATCAATAGATCACCTTTACGCACAAAGTCACCTTCATTAACAATAACATGTTTACTTCTAGAGACTAAATACTCTACTGGAGAAATCTGATCATCCGCAGGCTTAATCAATATGCTACGTTTTCCTCTACGATCTTTTTCAGAAAACACCACATGGCCATCTATTTCACTAACAATCGCGTGTTCTTTAGGGCGCCGTGCCTCGAATAATTCTATAACTCTAGGTAAACCACCAGTAATATCACGAGTTTTAACTGACTCTCTTGGTGTTCTTGTAATAACATCACCTGCATGAACCTTCNACCTATTGGTATAAAATAACATGCTTCAACACCACTAGCCAATGTAATGACCATACCATTATCATCAAGTAATACTATACGAGGACGTAAATTAGCACCACTAGAATGTAATTTCCAGTCCTTCACTACCTTGCTAGATATTCCTGTAGACTCATCCATCACTTCAGTGATTGAAACTCCATCTTTCAAATCCTGATAAGATACTACACCTGTTTTCTCTGTAATAATAGGCAGTGTATAAGGATCCCATTTTGCCACCTTATCACCAATTTTTACAGACTCACTCTCAGAAACGTAAAGCTTAGCACCATAAGGCACACTATATCTTAACTTTTCGCTGCCCAGACTATCAACCAATATAACTTCACAAGAACGGCTTACTACAATTTTACCACCATTTTTATCAATAATTAAATTACTGTTGTTTAGTTTTATTTTAGCATTAATTGAAGCTATAATATTTGAAGATTCAACACTCCTGGTTACCACACCACCTGTATGGAATGTACGCATAGTCAACTGTGTTCCTGGTTCCCCAACAGACTGTGCAGCCACTACACCAACAGCTTCACCTATTGACACAACTTCACCAGTTGCAAGATCTCTACCATAACATAAAGAACATACACCTGGACTTACTTTACATGTTAAAGGTGATCTAATCTTAACAGCATCAAGACCTGCAATATTAATTTGCTTTACTTTTCCTTCATCAATTAATTCACCTGCTTTCACCAATAACTCTTGGGTTACTGGATTATACACATCGCTTGCTGCAACTCTACCTAATATCACGCTCTCAAGAGATGCAACAATAGTGCCACCTTCAACTGTCGCCCTGACGACAAGACCATCATTTGTTTTACAATCATACTTTGTTACTATGCAGTTCTGCGACACATCAACTAAACGACGAGTTAAGTATCCAGAGTTCGCAGTTTTAAGTGCAGTATCAGCCAAGCCTTTACGAGCACCGTGAGTAGAATTAAAGTATTCAAATACATTCAACCCCTCACGGAAGTTAGAAATAATAGGTGTTTCAATAATTTCACCAGAAGGTTTAGTCATTAATCCACGCATTCCCGCCAACTGCTTCATTTGCGACGTAGAACCTCTCGCCCCGGAATTAACCATCATGTATACTGAATTATACTTACTACTCCTATTGTACACAGACATAGCTTTTAACATGTCATTAGCTATCATATCTGTACACTTAGACCATTCATCTATAACTTTGTTATATCTCTCACTTCTAGTGATTAACCCTTCTTGATACTGCATAGAGAATTTTTTGATCTCACCCCCCGCATTTTCAACATGCATGGTTTTAGTATCAGGTATCACTAAATCATGACGACCAAAAGAAATTCCAGAAAAAGTTGCATACTCAAAGCCAAGCACCATTAACTTATCGCAGAACACAACCGTTGCACTCTGACCACAATTACGATATATCAGATCAACCATGTTCGTTATTTCTTTAACTGTTAATATATGATTTATTAGATCAAAACTTAAGTTCTCATGCTCTGGAAAAATTTGCCATAATATCAAACGACCAGGGGTCGTACAAATAACCTTATGATACACTTCGCCATCGCTATTCATATACTCCATTCTATATTTCACATTGGAATGAATATGCAAAGTACCACTATTTAAAGAATGCTCAATATCAAAGAAAGCACTGAAGTATGGCAAATTACTCTCATCTTCAACAATTTCCTGCAAAGTAAGATAATATATACCAAGTACTATATCCTTACTAGGCACTATAACAGGTCTACCATTTGAAGGGCTCAGCACATTGCTAGTTGACATCATTAACACCCTAGCTTCAAGTTGAGCTTCTAATGAAATTGGCACATGTACAGCCATTTGATCTCCATCAAAGTCCGCATTATATGCTGCACACACAAGTGGATGTAGCTGTATAGCTTTACCTTCTATAAGTATCGGTTCAAAAGCTTGAATACTAAGCCTATGCAAAGTAGGTGCTCTATTCAATAAAACAGGATGTTCTTTTATCACTTCCTCAAGCATATCCCAAACTTCAGGCTTTTCTGCCCTGATCAGCTTACTAGCAAATTTAATGGTTGGTGCAAGACCATACATTTTAAGTTTGGAGTAAACAAAAGGTTTGAAT